GTGTTCCGTGTTCATTTTTCTTGTGATTTCCGACTTCTATTTTTAATAAAGTTTGGAGAAATCCTCATCTTTTTGGCTGAAAATCTTGCGCATGGTTCACAGAAGAACTTGGCCCAAAACGTCAATACATTCGCTTTCCTTTCATGCCAAATTTTCGTTGTAGATCATCCAAAAACCTCTTCTTTTTTCACTTTTAAAACTTGCTGTAAAATCCTACCTTGCAACAATATCTCCATTATTCATTATTTTTGAAAAACTAAGGTTTTAAACTTGAAAAATTTTGCGAGTTTCTGACTGATTTTCTTGCATGATACACCGTTGAAAAGCTCGAATTTCATGTTCCATTTTCGTATCCATTGCTAGGCAACACAATAAACACATGCTCAAATATCATGCCCGCAAGTTGAGGTGTCATTCGAGGGCGCATGCGGGCGCATTGTCCGTTACCCACTTGTCAATCTCAGGGTGCATACGGGCGCATTGGGCGTTAATGAGTTAACGACCTTCCTAAACAACAACAACAACAACAACAACAACAATAACTTTATTACACCTTTTTTAGCATTAATTATTTACAAAATGGAGAGAAATATATACAATATATAAGTTGATGTGCCACATATGGTATATATATATACTATGTTTAAGGTGTCTAGAAGCTAATCATGGCAAAAATTATGTGGACACCTAACTTTCCTAATGCCAATATTAACATTGAGACGTTCTTTCGTGAAATTTGTCACCACCTGCCCCCTATTCAATGTTGTTTCTCGTATTCAAATTTTAAAAGTTTCATTTACCAATATTGAGTTGGGGGTAGGAGGGGGAGAAATTTTCTGGCGGATTAATTATGTAGAAATATATCTATTTTTGTTTGACGCACGCGCTGTCCACGATAATTTTTGCCAGGATTGTCTGAAATTATCACATATTTCCAACTGCCTGATTTCATGAATTTAAGGCTCGATCCAATGATAAAATAGGCCTGTTTGTTTAGCAAAAGGAGCAAACAATTAGTAAATAAGGTTATATTTAGTTTTTTACTTTCCGATCTATGTTAAGTGTCACCTATCACATTACATGTCAAGTGGCCTTTTACGTATTATCGGGATTTATACAATTACAACTTAGTCTGCAACTCTAAAAAGAAATATATTCGTTTTACAAATTATTGAACATTGTGGAGAACGACGATGTCTTACAGTACTTAGTCAGACAGTGCAAAATGTTCAGCCAAAAAATGCGTGGTTTGTTTACCTCATAACTTAGAGCCAAACAGATATATCTTTAGTTCCTGAGCGTGAATCATTTGCATTATTGCAGCATGGAGCATCATATTCCCGTGTATTCATACAATATAACTGTATAAAACTGTACAAATGTGTAAGTATAATGTTATTTTGAAAGTGTAGTAAATTGATACAGTACACGGCTATGTAGCGTAACCAAATTCACACTAAATATAATAGACTATAGGGTTATTTTAGTGTATACGCATCCGAAGCGCTCACTATTTTCAGGTTTTTTGTAACAAGCGCAACCCAACAGCGACTGTAGAGCGCCTTTAATCTAACAGTGACGTCACACGGTACACGGCTGTGTATCGTATAGTAAAGAATACACAGCTTAAATATTTTAATCACCACACTACACAGCCGTGTACCGTCACTGTTAGATTAAACGCGCTCTACAGTCGCCGTTGGGCTGCGTTTGTTATAAAAAATCTGAAAATAGTGAGCGCTTCGGATGCGTATACACAAAATTTTATTTAGTGAGAATTTGCTTCCGCACTTAACTCATTAACTGGCAATGCGCCCGGATGCGCCCTGAGATTGGCAAGTGGGTAACTGGCAATGCGCCCGCATACGCCCTCAAATGACACCTCAACTTGCGGGCATGATATTTGAGCACGTGTTTATCGGGTTGCCTAGCAACGGATACGAAAATAGAACGCGAAATTCGAGCTTTTCAACGGTGTATCATGCAAGAAAATCGGCCAAAAACTCGCAAAGGTTTTCAAGTTTAAAACCTTAGTTTTTCAAAAATAATGAATAATGGCGTTATTGTTGCAAAGAAGGATTTCACAGCAAGTTTTAAAAGAGAAAAAAGAAGACGTTTTTGAATGATTTACAACGAAAATTTGGCATGAAAGGAAAGCGAATGTATTGACGTTTTGGGCCAAGTTCTTCTGTGAACCTTGCGCGGGATTTTCAGCCAAAAAGATGAGGATTTCTCCAAACTTTATTAAAAATAGAAGTCGGAAATCACAAGAAAGATGAACACGGAACTCAAGTGAGCAGATACGATTTTTTAAAGGGTATTTTTGAGTAGAAATATGCGATCAAACACTCACAAAATTCGACCGCATTAATGTTGGTTGAATCTAGTTTAAAGTTATCTTTTTAGACGAACTGTTTATGCAAATTTGGGCGCAATTTTGACTGTTTTCGTGACCCCATTGTTGGTATTCTTGTTCAAGTTGTTATTTTAGCTAAAGTATATTTCAAACGACACTTACTGTGTGCGTATGTGATCTTTTTGGCAAGAATACTTCGAGTATTAAATTACACTAAATAAGTAGGATATTCCAAAATCACTGTTATATCTATTTTCATCAATTTAGTGTTAAAATGACAACTCGTTTCAGACGTATTGTGGTTTAAAATAAGTGTATTGAATAAACGCGCTTGCTTGCCGCGTGCGAATATTCAAAAAGTCCGCACTTGAGTTGTAAAGCTTTCAAAATGCATTTTTACTGTTTTTTATATCCCCTATAAAACTTTAAATCGATAAAGCAGATAATAATGTTGATGCAACATCATTTTCTAGTAACTACACGTTGAATCAGAAGGAAAAGTTATCAAAATAGGTCGCGACGGTGGTTTGCAAAATGTTGCTTCCCTCTGAAATGGCTTCCTTTGTGGGAAGCCATGAAATTGAAGTCCTAACAAAAACTAACCTTAGCAGTTCTTTTGGGCCCATTGCTCACTTATTTATCATGAAATCGCTTCACTAGAACTTTTTTAATAATGTCTATGGGAAACTTTGTAATTTTCTGAACTAAAGGTTTATGGTTTTGAGGTGTTTATTTTATAAAATAGCACGCGCGACAAAATGGCACTAATGTGGTTTCTCACGTCTGACAAACAACCAAAGATGAAATTTCTTATTTCACCCTTTTATAGCTATGTGGAATACCTGAAAATTAGGTTACCTTTTTCATGTGAGGATATAGATAACATTTCTACACAATAGTCCTTATGAAGGCTTATTTCAAACTCAAAAAAGGAGATTGTTTTTCAGAGCCAGACTTCAAAAGAAACCGCCTGTCTGACATTTTATAGCAGCCTACATTGGCGCGCAAAATAATTTTGGCTTTTAAACCGTTGTTTTCCCAATAGAAGCATGAAAATATTGAGCTAAAAGTCTTACCTGGCATGTGTTTAAAGTGTTTTTCTCTTTATGATGCTTTTCAGTGCTTTGAGTACAGAAGTGAATAGCTTTTAGTTTTGTCACCGCAGAGTGCCTTTCAAAATGTCGGCTGTCATTGTCTGTGTTAAAAACACCTCAGAAAATTCCCATT